TAGAGTCATAGAGTCATAGAGTCATAGAGTCATAGAGTCATAGAGTCATAGAGTCATAGAGTCATAGAGTCATAGAGTCAGAGTGAGATAGAGTCATAGAGTCAGAGTGCGATACAGTCATAGAGTCATAGAGTCATCTGTGTACCATGCACTTGACTCGATGTAGTTCACTCTATGTACTATACACTTCACTCTATGCACTATGCACTTCACTCGATGCACTTCACTCTATGTACTTCACTCTATGTACTATGCACGTCACTCTATGTACTATGCACTTCACTCGATGTACTTCACTCTATGTACTTCTCTCAAGGGCTTCGCACGGAAGAACTTTCGGGAACTTAAAACATACATGGTCACGCGCTCCGCCTTGGAAGCCACAGTTCGACAAATACACACAGTGAGAACTCCTAAGGCAAATCTTGGTTCTTGCTGTGCCCTTTTGCCACCCTCGCCTAGCTTTGTACAAGCTGATTTGTATGCATCACGGGAAAATGTCACCGTCGAGGTATGGGGTTGTCCACTGCCCATCCATCTTCTTTCACTCGGGCATTGTGTTTTTCGCCATTTTTCAGCGTTTCGGGAATACCACTCATCATCCCTTAACAGGGTGCACAGAGATAGCCCACTCCGTTTCAAGCAAGGCTGGCCCACTGGCGGTGCCTTTTTCGGGTTCCCACTCCTTGCCGTGATGGCCACTCTTTTTGGTGTTCTGGCTGTAGCAAACTCCTTTTGCAGTCTCTGCGGTTCAGGCAATTGTTTTCAGGATTGAATCTGATGAGGTTTGGAACTTACCACCCATCTTCTCCTGATGACCAGCCATTCCTACAACACTTTACTCATCATGATGAAGTTATGAGTCACGGGGCTTTACGGTTCTGCGCCCTGTCATCTCAATGGGCGTTTTCGGTTGTGACAACACCCATTCCTCCCATCGCATCGCTATGGTTCATGTTTGGGAGCCAGACACTCATTTGAAGGTCTAGAGGTCTCGATGAAACAACTAATTTGTATTGGTTTCCGGGTCAGCTCCGTTTTGGGTTGGTGACGTTCAGCAACCTGCCATTCTTTTGCGGGTCTAGTGTGGTTCATTTTTGCCTCTTGCATTGGTGTGGGGTTCACCAGTGTGGCCCGATCTGATTCATGTTCACAAGCGGCCCACTCCTTTTGAAATTGGCCGAGGGACCACCAATTTTTGGCACCATCCTGTCAGTCTTGGTGGTTTAGTCTTTGGAATCTGTCATTTTTTCAAGCACTTTCGCTGTCTAGGGCTTCGTGCTACCACCCATCTTCTCCTATGTGCGTGGGACTTGGCCCTGTGATTTTTGGCAACACTTACGGGATACCGGCTTACCTTTCTCACGAAAACGTTGAATTACATGTCGTGCATCTGAATAAAATAGAACGGGCATGTAACAATGTGTATACATACATATACATATACAGATATACACACCGCCGCACACTTATTTTCTTTCCATCGCCGAAGGAAGGGTCTTGCGCTGCTGGGCGATCTGGGTTGACAGGCATCTCATGGATGCATGTCCTTTGGACACCCCTCTCACTCGACAACTAAGTCGGAGCTTTGGGGCACTCTTGTTCTCGAAAGCATAAAATGAAAGGAATAGAAGGGAAAGCATTAAGGAGCATATTCAAAGAGCATACATGCATACATGCATTTCTGCATACTTATACAAACGTATGCATGCATACATATATGTATATATATATATATATATATGTATACAAGCGACAAACAACGGAGTGTATGTACGCTTACGTGTATACCACACTAAAACACATGCGAATACAGGTTTGCACACCTTATCTTTTCATGTGCACCTTTGCATATGAAGACGAGGCTGTGGGGCCTGCGCTTGGGCAACCCACTATTTTCAGTGGTTTAAAGTTTTGTATGTTTCGAATGGTTGCGTGTGGGTTTCTGTGCCAATTTGTTATCTTTTAAAAAATATTGGTTTTAAAAACCCAAACCCCGCAGCAACCTGCTCTCCAGAAGCATATATGTACATCTGCATATTCATATGCAATCTACATGTACATATACACAAACATATATACACATACGAAAAACCAAACACATACACATACATATACATATACCTATACATAAACATACACGTAATCATAAACATACACATACCACACATAGACAGAGACATAGACAGAGACATATACATATACATGTAAGCACGTACATGTATACAGATACATATACATATACATATACATATACGTATACGTATACGTATACGTATACATATACATATACATATACATATACATATACATATACATATACATATACATATACATATACATATACATATACATATACATATACATATACATATACATATACATATACATATATACGTGTACATAAACATGAACAATTTCATATTCACATACATAAACATGTAAGTATACCTATACCTATACATACACATATACATACACATTGACATAGACACAGACATAAACATAGACATGGACATAGACATATCAATATACAATATACGTATACATATACATATATGCACCTACACACACATGTATATGTACGTAAACATTAACATGTGTATGTCTGAAAATGTGAGTATACACACATGCATACGTAGAAATAAACATACATATATACACATACATAAATGTACGTGTATATACACATATACGCATATGTACATTTTTTGCCACCCGCCCAGCTGAAACAAGTCGCACCGCAGGGAACTCATGTGTTTACATAGATCGCTGTAGTACCTTATGAGGTTTGAGATTGAGACATGAAGTCATAGCGAAGCCCAACAAGCCAAGCCAAGCCAAACCACTTTAAATGAGAACCCCTAAGCTGCTGTTTGATCGAAAAACCAGTGTCTGACAGATGGACTCATATAATATATTTGTACACGACGAATATTTGTTCATACATACACATGCACAACTGTACATATATATATATATATACACACATACATTATGCCTATGTACACATATAAGCATATATATATATGTACATACATGTAAACATGCTGAATTTATACACATTTATACGTTAAACTGCACAATTTTACATGCGTTTACAGACATATACATATATACATATACAAAGGTATACATATATATATATATATATATATATTTATATGCATATGTGTATATATATATACATATATGTATGTGTGTGTGTGTATATATATATATATATATTTATATGCATATGTGTATATATACATATATGTATGTGTATATATATATATATATTTATTTATGCAAACCCCCCTTCGCCGAAGAGCTACCGCGAGTTGCCGCCATACCGCCACCAATCCTCCTACGTTTAGGCTTTCGGTGTACCCGGGCTTAGCGTTTGGTTTTGACGTTCCGAGGGGAAAGCACATGCTCATCGGCAGCCGTCTTCATTCTCAATTCCTCGCGACCCTTCACTCTGATGCTCCGAAAGATGATGATTTCCGGAAGCTCAATATGGGCCCAGAAATTGCGGGCGTAGCACGTCCAGGCATTCCTCAGCACTGCACTCTTCACAGCCGCGCCGGAAGGCAGTGAGCCTCCCGACCACCTGCCTGTTGGTGAGCTGGCGGAGCGAAGCTGAAGTTCCAAGTACAAGTAGTTCTTGAAGAGCACCAGCTGGATCCTGCGGTTCCATCGCCGTTGGAGGCGGCGTACACTGGCCCGCTCGTGGTCTTCCACTTCAAAAGCGTCACTGCAGAAGCAGTAGCCGCGCTTCTAAAATCATCAGAGCTGCTGGACTCGTAAGATTCTTCAGAGGAGGTGAGTGGGGGAATCGAGCGCGGCTGAGGGTGCTGCTGATAAGGGCGTTCTCCGAAGACTGAGCCGAGACACTTGGATCACTTGGACATACATACATTTACATACATACATGCATTCATGCATACATGAATAATTACATGCACACATACATGAAAGCGTAGATGCCTTTATGCATGTATACAGAAATACATACACATGTGGATTTCCGTGTGTGTGTGTGTGTGTGTGTTTGTGTGTTGACAAAGCGTAATTCTAACATACATTTTTGCTTAATGTTTGCATCGCCGGCCAACATTTCTTTTAGCACCTGGGGTTTCAGGGCCCTCCGAACGGACCAAAGGGCCAGGCAGCAAACGAATGGACCAGGACTGGGCGCTTGAAGGACCACAGATGGCCAAAGGATGCAGCTACCAAGGGAGGACAGGAACGCATGACCATGTTGTCAAAGAAGATACCCTGCATGAAAATACAAAGCACATTGCCGGTGAGGTTAAGCCTTGGACACTCTCACAACAGCTCAGGCCGCCTCCCCAATCCATGGAAGAAGCTGCTATTCCGGCTGCCTGTGCTTCCGCTGTCTTCGGCATACTTCGGCTTCGGTGGAGGGGCACCAATCAACTCAATGAAACAGCCTGAAGAGTCTTCAGCCGGGTGCGAGAACCACCATGGCCATAAGATGTCGCATGTGATATTTTGGCTCCCGCATGGCTGTCTGACGACTGCATGTGATATGATTAGAGCAATGCTGTAGATGTATTCATGCTTATGTCTCTGCTGTAGGTGCCCAAGTGTTCATGCAGGGCATGGGTGACTTCAAAACATGCGTTCATGCTTTTCTTCTAGTGACTAGTGCGACACGATGATGGGATCATAAGCTGACAACTGGTAACTGGCGTTTGCTGGAAGGCCCGCTTCATTTTTAAGCCATCTGGAAATCACCCAAAGAGATGACATGCCCCTTGCAGACTATTGGCACATGTGTTGGACGTGCTAGTTACTAGGAGGTCCGTTCTGTGGTCGACCTTTGACCACACGGGTAAGACCTACAGATAAACAGATGGTGCAACTTTGTTGCTCCACAACTTCTCCAGAAAAGCTGCACAGGGGGGTGCCAACTCCCGACGTTCCCACAAGGGCCGTCGGTCGCATCCCTTCTTGAATTCATCCGCAGCAATGGACCACCAGAGCCATGCTCAGTTATCCTGCAAACTCGAACCCCACGTCCAAGAAGATGTAATAGTAACCGCTGACGATACAAAGACCGTTGATAGCGATATTGCACTTGCAAACATCTGTTCGGTTGAAGATAGCGTGTTTTTGCCCGGTCCTGTGACGATGCTCCAGATTGGTCTGAAGACTCCGTCGAGGAGTCCTCCGATTCATTTCCATGAGCTTCCGCCTGAGCCACGGCCCCTTGCAAGTTCCGACGATAATGGAGAACACCGTGCCTGGAGCCGATCCTGCAGCAAATACCTCAACGTCGAGTCACGGAACACACTGCACATCTCGGAACAACTCTGGAGTCCGGAGGATCGTTTGAAGCATCGTCTGGTGCGCCCGTTCGGTGCTCGTCAGTGCAAATGGAGGCCGAGATTTGCTTCTTGTGACTGCCAGAAAATGCATTACTCTCCTTCTGCAGGGCATGCCTCACTGATTGAGACTTCGTTCCGACATGTTCCTGCTCGTGACACCATCGCTTTCAAGTCGCCTTTATCTCCAGCGCACAACGACCAGACGAAAAGGAATAAAACAATGGGGCTACACGACTCGCACACAAAGTCACCCCTGGCCGGTAGAGGTGCCATATTTGTCAAAACCTGACTTGGCTGTGAATTTTGTTCTGCCCGCCCCGTTTCAACTTGCAGTTCTGCTACACTCGTAATGTCGCAAGCAACCCGCCTTACTGCACTGCCAGCAAGCCCGGCATGACGCGCCACCTGCCGCATGGCGGACTTTCAAATCTTTCAAGCAGGGCTCAAGACACATGGACCCAAGCAATTGAGAGCTTCACAGCTTTTTCGCCCTTTCCTTTGTCTTCCCTCAACAACGCGCAGCTAAGTCGCGAAAAAAGATGCGATGATGTCGTCCTCACAATCTTAGTTTGCTGAGGTCCGTGCGCCCAACGTTTCCTCAACATATTCAATTCTCGCTGCTTTCGCTGCACCTGTCCAGGAGCTGATGTCAGATCTCCCGGCACTTATCTACTACTGCCCGGCCTCACGCCGTAGTTCCCGATTCATGTCGGGCGCACCATCGTCATTCTCATCGTCCGATTCCTCACCTGCAAATTTCAAGCTTCAAATCTAACAACTTGACGCCGCATCGCACGGCATGTTGCAACGTGTGTTTTGAGAAAGTCCGGCCCCCGGCAGAACACTTACATGTTCGAATGAGGCTGTCCAGACATCGTGTTGGCTGTTGTCTGCAGTGTTGTCACTCATCCAAATTTGCACGACCTCTTTATTAAGCACGTTAGTTACAGCCCCCCGGCAACAGAAGATTTCGCCCACGGCCAAAGCTCATGATCCAAAATCTTCGTTGCGTCATGGCGGGCGAGAGAAAATTTGTGTAGGGAGACAGAATCCAGCTGGAGTGCCAAACCTGTCGTGACGGTTCTCCCGTCGTGCTGGATCCTAAGTCGAAACCAGCTAGCATCTTGAACGTTTATGAAGAAACAGCCGCCCCGCTTCTCAGACTGCTGCTTCGCACGATGGATGCGACTGTCAGTGTACGCGATTTGAGCACGCCTCAGCACATGCTGGTCTGAGAGTCTAAAGCCAGACACATGGATGGGTACCCTGTGAAGGGGAACTCAAGATGCGGGCGCATCTTCCAGCTCCTTGTACATGCCAAGAAGCAGCAACACCCCAGCCTGCAGTCCCGTAGCTGGCTGCTTGACAAGTGGCAGGGCGCCCAGCAGACTACTTAGAGTTTGTTTGCACAATGCTCTCAAACCAGCACGGCTGCTTGACAAACACATCGCCTGGAGACCTCCAAAAATCCAGATTCTGGGGTCTGATCTTCGGAAACACAGCGATCCGTCAGCTTGTCTTGGCAAAAGGAGAGGGGTTGTCAATGCTCATGCCGGGTTTGCAAGTTGTGCTGTCATCCGGGCAACTTGAATTTGGGCTCGAGCATGACCTAAAGATGCAAATACATCTCAGAGGACCGCACTGAATACGAAACTCGCGCCAACTGTTTTCCTTCTCACACGAATCGGGCAAGTCTCGAATCTCACTAGCCAGCCTCTGGAACACAGAGGGTAATGCGTTGGTAAAACCGGGGAACACCCGGGTCCCAAAGACAGAAACGTTAGCCAAGATTCGATACAACATCAGCTGTACGAATCTGACCCAACCGTAGCCTCTGGAACACAGAGGGTAATGCATTGGTAAAACGGGGAACACCCGGGTCCCAAAGACAGAAACGTTAGCCAAGATTCGATACAACATCAGCTGTGCGAATCTGACCCAACCGTTCCCAAAGCACTTCCCCAATGCCACAAACTCAAAGACGCAGACCACCGCCTCCAGCGGCAGAGCCCAAAGCTCGTGTGGGAAATGAGCTTCGAGTGCAAAACTTGTGCGACTGATGCCACTCATGCTCCGCGCCCTCGCGGCTAATGGCATCGCTCCAGTTATAGACTTGGAGGGAATCCACTCCCAGTAGACCCACGTCTGGAAGCAGAAAAGACAGAGGTGTATCAACTGGGCCAAGCGTGAAAGATCGGCATTGTCCGAGCGACCGCGTATGAGACACATGAGTGCCGCGGTATTGTCGATATACCAGACTCCTCGCCCTGATCTGAAGTAACTGGGTCTGGAGACGAGTGCGAAAAGAACCATGCTCAATTCGAGCTGTGCTATCTTCTTCTCGCCTGGGCCCAAAACGGGGTACAGGCTAGAAGGCGAAGCGGCCACGAAGCCCTCGCGAAGCTGCCCCTGTGGATGCTGCCAAACGATCAAGAACCCGCCAATACCTAGTAAAGGTGCTTCCTCGGCTGCGTCGCTGGCAGCAATGAAGCGCCGTACTGGGGGATGAGTGATCCAATATCGGCGTCGGGGGCGCAAACGGAGCACAGCCGCGATGAGATGGAAGCATGCACGGATCTCGTCCGTTAAAGCTGTATCCCGCGAGTTCTGGCGCTAGCAAAGAGCAGCCAGACCCCCACAGCCTACCCGGCCGTACATTCCTTGCTCCAAGAAATTCATGAGGCCGAACATCTTAGAAGCCAGACCCGCTCCAAGCCCAAGAAGGTGCCACTTGGCGACATCACTTGTCGCTTCTCTCCTGCGAACGGGGTACCCAACAAGCTGTTGACTGCCCCGACGGCCCACTGCCCCGATCCTTTGGAAGACGCCAAGTCAAGTAGATTAGAGTCGTCGAAATACGAGGATGCCACAGTCAGTGCCAGCCTCCTGGACGCCGCCTCAGAGAATCGGCTGTGCCTGTTAAAGGACGTGACTGCCAGAGGAAGCCCAAACAAGAGGCCAGAGCACACTTGGTATGCTGGCGCGCTCCATTCATGGTGCCACCAAACCACCAAGCATGCCAGAGACTCGTCCTCATTCATGGGGCAATGCCTGTAGACGTCTGGCCAATCTTCTCCTCCCGATTCCACAGAGTCACTCTCTTTGGCCTCGGCCAGGTCGCCGGGGGGAACGCGAGAGACGATGGCCTGTGCATGCTGGCCAGGCCTCAAGGCGCTGCAGAGGACAAGCTTGTTGGAGTCGTGGGAGGTATCCGATTGGCCACCCACGTCTGCGTTGTCAATGATCCTCTGCTTCCCTGACGATTGAGTGATAACGCAACGTGGAATGAGGCGATAAGGTCTGCCTTTGAGCTGTTTCAGCAGAGCCTCCTTAGTCAACGGAGGTGAGCAAAAGCCCGCCTCGAAGTCTTTGGTGGACTTCTGCAGCAAGAAGGAGTCATCCTTAGAGGGGCCAATGCGTGAAAGCATACGAGCATTGTGTGCACGCCAATCTCCCATTACATTCTCGAAGGAGATGGGCTCGGCAGGCAGTTGGGGAAAAACACCGTAACACGGCGCAAAACCCACAGCTGGCATACCGGCCACCAGAGCAAACGCGAGAGCCGTGTCCGGCCAGGAGGAGGGCACGACCAACAGAGCGACCAAGCCAATGTCCCGTGACGCCGTCACGCGGCGGAGGGCTGGGGCTTGGAAACGTCGCAGCTCTGTGTCAACCCGCGACCACCGCTTCAGCAAGCAGGCCAGTGCGATTTGTGGCTGTAAAGTCGGCTGCGAAGCGCAAGTCTGGGTCCAGCACGGGCGCCTGCTCTGTGGGGACAGGGTCATGAAGGAGGGAGAGCCGCTCGTTGGCTGAAGGCTCCAGCTTGCTGTCCCTCAGCACGCTGAAAGATCCGAACCGATTGAGGAGCCAGAGCAGGCCCGCACCACCCCAGCCAGTCAGCACCAGTGTCGCGAAGCCATCTCGTGTACAAGTCGAACGGCGGGGCGTTGACCCTCCACAAACGGGAAAGTCACTCCCTGCAGCCAATCCTCAGGGAAGAGCTTGCGCACCGCCATGAACACGTCTTCTTGCCCGAAATAGCAGGAGAAAACCTGGGAGGCATCCACCAACGGGGCCACCACCATGCCTAGAGCCTTGTCAAAGAGCCCAGGAGGACGGCGCCCTCGCTTCCTGGCAGGGCAGGTTGTCGCTGCTGGGGCGGCGGCGACACTCGCTGCCTCTCGGAGAGCCGGAGAGCTCCTCGAACACCAACCCAGCCAAGGCATCGCCGCCCTCTCAAAGGAAAGTGGTGATCGCGTCTACAACCAAGGTCTTCCCAAAGAGCTCCGGCAACTGGTCGAACAGGTTGTCCCTGGCGTGCTGGATGTACCTCGGGCGGAACTCGTCGAAAGGGCAGTCGTGCCCTGCCACCAACGGCGCTGCCCATTTGGTACGGGGAGTGTGGTGAAAGTGGTGGCCTTGACCGATGTAGATCGCCTCCGGTGGCAACGAACCATCCTGGAGCTGAACCTCGGCCACCGCCTTTCTTGCTGGGATCATGTTGGATTCTACCTCGCAGGGCGGGTTCAACCCGAGAGACAAAGCCAGAAGAGTCATGGCCCAGGAGCGAGGATCAAACTTCGTCCAAGCTTCGCGACGGCCCACGCAACCCGGGGTAGTGCCAGCTTGGCTCGCCCAACCCGGGCAGCCCACCACGAAGCTGACACTGCGATGGCAAAGGCAAGGGGGGGCGCTCGGCCTCCTCCTGGGACGGGTACCATCGCCCGCCTGGAAGCGAACTCGAGCCCCACGCCTCTTTCGCATGTGTATGATGACACTGGATTGGCGGCCAGTCCGCGATCTCCTGCACGTTGTGCCGAAGCCTCTGCAAGCGTCGTAATGCTTGTCCTGCCACAGCCCAGACTGAAAAGCCTGAACTTCCTGAAGCAGCCAGTGCAAGCTGTTTGCTGGGTTTTCGCGAACTGCTCCTGCACCACGTTCTGCCACCTGCTGGATTGCCTGGAACGCGAAAGAACATGCCCGGTTATCCCGCTCCACCCTCTCCTGATCGCTTCTGCTGAGGCCGTCCAGTCCCTCTGGGCGGGCAGCAGAGCGGAGAGGTTTTTCGGAGATGGCCGCCCTTCATCAAAGGATCCAGGGATCTCACGTGCTCGGCTCTTGGTAGAACAGTCAAAGGCTGCCGCGATAAAATCGACCTGTAAGCGGGTTTGCCAAATCGTGAGACGAGTCGATCTTCAAGTCCACGGGGAGACAGTGCCAGCCGCAAAAGATAAAGGCCTTAAAGAGAGGTGCGTGCGGTCCCGCAATCTGCTCGTCCGACCCCAGGGAGAGGGGGGCCCCTTCACCTTGACCTTCTGCTTGCAGGAAGCCGCACCGTGCTTCGCCGAGCCACAGACTCTCTCGCCCTTGAGGACCACGCCGCACCGGTGTTGATCGGGACACTGGTTGCCCTTGCTGCAGCTTTTCCTGGCACAAGCGCTTGCCATCCTTCCTCTCTCTGGGGACCTTCTTGCCGTTCACGCTGCGGCCGAGCTGGAAGGAGGAAGGTCTCGATGGCGGCGGCGGTGATCCTGGGTCCGACAAGGGCTCAGCAGACCTGCAATGGTATCCAATGTGCATCGCACAAGTCCATGACCTCCCGTACCACAGACCCCAGGGTCTTATAGTCGATTCTCGGAACTTCGATACCCATGTTGCGCACTCCTCGGTGTCCCTGTGAGCCAAGCCAACCGCTTGGGTGCCAGTTCCTGACAAACCGGCACCTGCACAAACTGGGTGGTGTCCGAGCCCACGGTATTCTCCGAATTGGCGGCAGGGGCTCCTGCGACCGACTGGACACCTGCCAGCCCTTATGCTGTGAGGAGTATTTGCAACCTGTCCACCTCGTTGAGCTCCTGATCCTCGGTGAACAGGTTCTCCCCCAGTTTACGCTTCTTGCTTGTGCTGACAAGTTGAAACTGGAGGCTCTTCACCTTCCAGACGCTGAACACACAAAGCATTCTTGTGTTGAGCTCTCGCGTCACTCGCGAGAGCGTCGCATCGGAGGGGTAAAGTTCTGGGGGGAAGCGCGTCTTGTAGCGCTGCCAGAACTGTTGCTTCATATCTCTCAGAGAGCTGTCACCATCCAAATCTGACTCTGAGATCTTGACTCGGCCTGCGTCGGCGCGTTGGAAGAAGACCTTGACCGCCGCGCAGGTTCGACGGAGGCGGGCAGTTTGCAAAGGCTGTTGCTCACCAAGGCTCTACTTCTGAACCCACAGGCCTACCTCGCTCTCTGATTCAACGAAGTACCGGAATTCCTCCAGATTCTTGATCTTCTGCTTGACCAGGGCCTCCAAGTCGACATTCAACTGAAAGAGACTCCATAGTGGCACGAAAG